CTACTGTGTGCCAGTCGTCACCAGCGAGGGTGAGTCAGTCCCCACCCTCAAGGAGCTGGTGCTGAGCAGGAGAGTGAGGTGGTCAGGGGGGACTTCCAGGATGAAGGGCCATCAGACCCCAGCCAAAGCTGCCAGCCTCTGAGAGAAGATGAAGACGTGGGCATCTTAGCAGAGACCAGTGCGTCAGCACCCCTGAGACAAGAGACTGTGGCCAGAGACCCTGTGAACACGACTGGGCTGAGATGTTGAGAGATGAGACTGGTTGAGAGGTGGGTTTGTAGGGCACAGGGGAACCACTGTGGAGTGCAGTGGAAAGACCGTTCTGGTCATCTATTACTGCAGAACGAACTGTCTGAACCTAGCACTTGAAAAAACATCTTCACATTTCCCAAGTGGACTCGAGTGGGCACTTCTGTAGGTTTGACTGGACGGGACATCCACACAGGCTCATGTCACATCATGTGGCTGGTCGTAGGTGCTGGTGTCGACTGTGTGTCCAGCAAGGGCTGTTGAGCAGAGCACTTGCAGGGCACCTGTCCATGGTTTGGGCTCCACACAGCATGAACCCAGTGGGAAGCAGACATGCGACATACATGTGTATAGACACACACACATATATATTCTACGTTGATACATTTTGTTCATGATCATCTCTATTCGTGAATAAGTTAATGAGAAGAAGTATCACCAAGGGCCATGGTGATACTTTTCTTTAGTACTACATTTAAAAATTTTCATGATTTACTTATTTAAAAGATTTGTGTGTGCGTGTGTGTGTGTGTAATTTTAAAAAATCAAAATTTCAGGGGTGACAATCAGTTTTTATCTCATGAATATTCATAACCAATAAAAAAATCAAAAATTTAATTCTACAGGAAAAATTTTTCCTAATAAATCTTGTACACGTGAACAAAAATGTGTGATATTGCCATGTTTTGAAACCATCCATCTGAATGTTCATTCATTGGAACTAATTAGGTGCATTATGGTGCATCCTTAGGATGTACTATTACATAGCAGTTAAAAGGTACAAGAGCCCTCCTAAGGAGTGACATGGATCCCTCTTTATATATTAAATCAAAAAAGCAAAAACTGGAGCTGGCCGGTTAGCTCAGCTGGTTAGAAAGCAGTGTTATAATTCCAAGGTCAAAGGTTCAGGTTCCCTTATCCACCATCCACCAAAAAAAAAACAAAACAGGAAACAGAACAGTGAGATTGGGCATGCTGCCAGTATGGATCTGGCCATCACATCTTGGGCACAAGTGGTGACAATCAGCTTTATATCTCATGAATATTCATAGCCAACAAAAAAAATGTACTGTGCAAAATATTAAAAAAAAAAAAAAAATTGCGCTGGCCCATGGCTCACTTGGGAGAGTTCAGTGCTGATAACACCAAGGCTGTGGGTTCGGATCCCATATAGGGATGGCCAGTTCGCTCACTGGCTGAGTATGGTGCTGACAACACCAAGCCAAGGGTTAAGATCTCCTTACCGGTCATCTTTTTTTTTTTTTTTTAAGAAAAAGGGAGGGCCAGCCCTGTGGCTCACTTGGGAGAGGGCAGCACTGGGAGCGCCAAGGCTGCGGGTTCGGATCCTGTATAGGGATGGCCACTGGCTGAGAGATCCCCTTACAGGCGCCACCAGGCCGGCCCCCCGGTCATCTTTTTTTAAAAAAATAAAGAACAGTGGGAGTATTATAATAACACTTGAGTTAACCAAGCAAAATATTTTTGGAAAACATTTGTATCTAATAAATAGCCCAGAGAACTCAGAAGTCATTAACAGTGGTCATTTATGGCAAAGGTAGTTATGGAAAAGGATTTATTTCTTTATTGTATACACTCTTGTATGTTTTTAATTTTTAATACGTTCATATTTAATCTTGTAATAATAAAAATAGTTTAGATGTTTAAGAAATGTTAATACTTATTGCTGGTAAAGATGTGGGGAAATGGGCACTTAATCAAAAGACTGAACATTGCAGGAGCTTGCTTTGAGGATAGTTGCAGCCTTGGGCATCAAAAGTTAAAATACATGTGCCCTTTCACACAGTGTTCAACTACTCAAGAAAGTGTGTCCAAATAACATGGATGCAGGTATGTGTGAAGAGCAGGATGGACCTGTGGTCCACGGCACCAGGGCTCCTGCCCTGATACTGTCCCTCTCCTCCTCAGGGGCTGCACGGATGTCATTTGCTGTGTGCTCCTCCTCCTGGCCATTGTGGGCTACGTGGCTGTGGGTATCATAGGTGAGTTAGACAAGGGGACAGAACTTGGGGTTCCAGGGTAGGAGGGGACACAGCCACAGTCTCTGGGGCAGGTGTGGGGCTGGTGCCGAGGAGTAGCAGGGCCTCAGTGTCCCTTGATGCCTCCACAGCCTGGACCCATGGGGACCCTCGAAAGGTGATCTACCCCACCGACAGTCGAGGCGAGTTCTGCGGGCAGAAAGGCACAAAAAACGCGTGAGTGGGACTCCTGGGGGCCTGGTGGGGCTGGGGAGGAGTGGGCAGAAGGGCTTCGTGAGCACTGGAGAGAAGGTTCTAGGCTTTCCCCATCTCCATCCCCCCAGTAGTCCAGTCAACAAGTATAAAACTCTCACCATCCCCAGCCGCTATTTAGGACACAGCACTAAATGAGACGTTAAATGTCCTGTCCTCTGGCAGCTCACATTTTAGGGGAGACAGTGAGGAAACAGTACTGGATCTGATGTCAGGTGGTGATGAACAGCTGAGGTAGCAGAACGAGTTCAATCTGGGCCATGTCACTCCCTGGCTGTGTGACCTAGGGCAAGTGTCTCCACCTCTCTGGGTCTCATTTTCCTTTTCTGTACACAGTCCCACTCTCGTCGGATGGGTTAGATGAGCCAGTATGGAATTGCTGGCATGGAATTGCTGCTACTGCTGTAGTTTTTATTATTGTTTTTACTAAGATATTTTATATAGGGTGGTTGAGGAGTCTTGACAGTTTCTGTTGTCTCTTGTCCAACCTCAGGAACAAACCCTTCCTGTTTTATTTCAATATTGTGAAGTGTGCCAGCCCCCTGGTCCTGCTGGAATTCCAGTGTCCCACCCCCCAGGTAACCAGTCCCCACCTCTCCGTTTTCCTTCCCACCCCCCATCCCTTCTGTAGAGACGTCTTCTTCTACTTTTTTTGGCCGACTGGCCAGTATGAGGATCCAAACCCTTGACCTTGGTGTTATAACACCCCGCTCTAACCAGCCGAGCTCACCAGCCATCCCGGGACGGCTTCTCTCCCAGCCCTGTCTCTCCCAGTGAATGTGGGGTGGGACCTCTGTCCTGAGCGAGGATCAGGTGTCTGTCCTGACCCTATCCCCTCCCTTCCTTCTGCCCTCCCAGATCTGCGTGGAGAAATGTCCTGATCGCTACCTCACCTACCTGAATGCTCGCGGCTCCCGGGACTTTGAGTACTATAAGCAGTTCTGTGTTCCCGACTTCCAGACCAATAAGGTGAGGAAGTGGCTCCCCTGGGAGCCCAGGCAGGGGCAAGAAGGGTGCTGGCCTGGGGGATTCACCTCTCTCCCTCCCTCTCTTTTGGCAGGGTGTGGTCGAGGTGCTTCGGGATGGTGACTGTCCTGCTGTCCTCATTCCAAGCAAACCCTGTGAGTCAGGGGTCCCAGGAGGTTCAGGTGGAGACTGGGGAGGGTCTGCAGGGGCTCAGCCTGACTGATCCTGTCTCCTGCTCCACGCAGTGGCCCAGAGATGCTTCCCAGCTATCCACGCCCACAAGGGGGTCCTCATGGTAGGCAATGAGACGACATATGAAGATGGGCACGGCTCTCGGAAAAACATCACAGAGCTGGTGGAGGGCGCCAAGTGAGGACCGCGGCCGACCACACCGGTGTCACACTTTCCTGGGTGGGACAGGGCACCCCCTGGGACTGGCCTCATCAGGGAGGGGGATCTGACCTGAGTCTTGTCCTCCTTCCCCCAGGAAGGCCAATGGGGTCCTGGAGGCACGGCAGCTGGCCATGAGGATATTTGAAGATTACACTGTCTCTTGGTACTGGATTGTCATGTAAGTTGGGAGAGAAGGTGGCTCTCTCTGGTTGGCCTGTCAGAGGCTGTCGAGGGGTGGGGTCCACTCATGCTCCTATTTATTTCCCAGAGGCCTGGTCATCGCCATGGTATTGAGCCTCCTATTCATCATCCTGCTCCGCTTCCTGGCTGGCATTATGGTCTGGGTGATGATCATCATGGTGATTCTGGTGCTGGGCTACGGTGCGTCTCCCCCTCCCTGTGCCCTCCCCTGCCCAGGGTCTGCAAAATGCCTGTGACCTTTGACCTGGTAATGACCTATCAAGAATTTTATCCTAAAAAAAAAAAAGAAAGAAGAATTTTATCCTAAGCCATCAGCCATTTTCCATCTTTTACTTGCATATCTGTGAAGATGCTCACCCCAGTGTTGTTTATGAGAACAGACACTTGGAAACAATCTCAGTGCCCTTCAACGGAGGATGGCTGGAATCAGGCTGTCAGTAAACTTCTAAACCCGGGCTAGGTCTGTAGTGTATGGACAGTAAAAGGCATTCTCAGCCGGTTAGCTCTGTTGGTTAGAGCATGGTGCTCATAACACCAGGATCCAGGGATCCATCCCTGTACCGGCCAGCCACCAACAAAAAAAAAGAAAGGCATCCTCAAGAAAGCTGCTTTGTACACTGGTTAGGGATACATAATTTGGCAATGGAAAGGTGGGGGGTAAAATCCTGGCTCCCTGAGTTTCTAGCTCTGTGTCTTTGAGCAAGTGATTCAACCCCCCCCAACTCCCCACCCCACCCCCGTGCCTCAATTTCTTCCTCTGTAAAGCAGGGGTAATTAATATTTACCAGTTGGGAGGCTTAATGAGAAGGAGATAGTGTGAGGATAAAATCAGGGGAGGGACCTGTTTAGCTCAGGCCTGTGGAACCAGAGGCAATGCTCAGAAACCAGTGCCTCATATTTGGCTGATTCATTTAAACTTTCCAGAAGGAAAAATGCTTGACAACCCAATCTCACGACACAGATGCCAATATATTCATGTTAATAGGGGTTTCTAGCTGGGTGCTGGAATTTTAGGTGACTTGATAGTTTTATTACTTTATCTGTATTTTACAAAGAGCTAAGGGGAATGCTGAAAATCTCTAATGCTACCTCACTGCATGTTAACATCCAGGCCACCACCCCTGTTCCCATGAATCACTGGTACAGGGTGGAAGGGGGGTTGTAAGGAGGCCTCAGGCCACATGGCATCCTAACACCTACTCGTTCATTCATTCGTCAAACATGTATTGAGTGCCTACTGTGTTCTGGGCAGTTTTCTAAGCCCTGGGTTTATAGCAATAAACAATATGGGACAAATCCTTGCTGTCATGGGGAGGATAGGCAAGAAACAAGTAAACCAGAAAAACCTTTAAGATTTCAAAAGAAGGAAGGGGGATAAGAAGTTGGAGTGTGGGAGGATATGATTCTACAGGGGGGGATGGGGTTCTGGAAGGTCTCATGAGAAGGTAACATTTGAGCAGACAATGGGAGGGATCCGGTGATGGGAAGAGAATGTTCCAGGAAGTGGAAACAGCAAGTGCAAAGGCCCTGAGGCAGGAGCAAGGAAATGCAGCCCCTTTCAGCCTCAGTTTTTGCTTTTGTTCAATGGGGTGGATGTACCTGCTTTGCAGGGTGGGGAGGAGTTGATGGGCTGAGGTTGTGGTTCTCTGAGCAGGAATATTTCACTGCTACATGGAGTATGCCCGACTTCGTGGGGAGGCTGGCTCTGACATCTCCCTGGTGGACCTTGGCTTCCAGACAGACCTCCGGGTGTACCTGCACTTACGGCAGACCTGGATGGCCTTCAGTGAGTCCCCCAGTTCAGCCCCCCATGAGGCCTTGGAGGGAGTGGGGAGCCCAGGTGACTGGCACTCTCAGCCACCCTCTGCCCCTTGCAGTGATCATTCTGAGTATCCTCGAAGTGATTATTATCCTGCTGCTTATCTTTCTCCGGAAGAGAATTCTCATTGCCATTGCGCTCATCAAGGAAGCCAGCAGGTAGGTGCCAGAGGGCCCGGCTGGGGTACTTCCTAGGGCTGTTCAGGCCCTGATGCGTGCGTCTCTGCTCCTTCCTAGGGCTGTAGGATACGTCATGTGCTCCATGCTGTACCCACTGGTCACCTTCTTTCTGCTGTGCCTTTGCATTGCCTACTGGGCCAGCACTGCTGTGTATCCACCACCAGACTCTGACCTGTGACCCCAGGGATAGCCAAAGGCCGAACCTGCCTGGAAGTGACCTGCAGCTCAGGGGCAGGGCTGGAACCTGGTGGGAGAATGGATACTTTTCCACAAGTCCCTGGGGTCCTCAGTCCCAGACCTTGGGTTCCTTAACCAGCCTCCAGCTTCCTGTCCACTTCCAACGAAGCCGTCTATAAAATCTTTGATGATGAAACCTGCCCTCTTGTTGGAAAAACCTGCAAACCTGAGGTGGGCATCCCTTAGGTAGAAAGGGCAGATACTGCCCCAGCAGCCCCCAGACAATTTTTTTTTTTTTTTTTAAAGATGACCGGTAAGGGGATCTTAACCCTTGACTTGGTGTTGTCAGCACCATGCTCACCCAGTGAGCGAACCGGCCATCCCTATGTGGGATCTGAACCCTTGGCCTTGGTGTTATCAGCACCGCACTCTCCCGAGTGAGCCACAGGGCCGGCCCAGCCCCCAGACAATTTGAAACCTCTCATCCCTGCTTGAGAAATCATTCAGCAAGCATTTGGCACTTGCTGTATGACCTGTGTAGGGGGCATGGAGGGGAAGAGACCCCATCACTGGATCCGGCAACTTCCCAAGCTGGGCAACCTGGCTTCCCCTCTTCAACTTGGCCTGTCCCCCGCCCTGGGTGCTTTTTTCCCCTTGACTTCCCTTTCCTACCCACACACCCTTTTTCTTGACCCCCCCGTGATGACCGATTCTTGCTTCTAGAATCCCTTCCTTGGTTTTTACAAGCCCCTAATCTGAACTCCTAATGCCTTGACTTAACCTCTGATCCCCATGACTCCTGTCGTACCCCAGTGTCTATCTAATCCCGGACCTAATGCCCAGAGTCCACTCTGAACTCCTGGCCCCTATGTTTTGACCTGGCTCTGCATCCCTCTTACAGATCTTCCCTTCCTCCAATGAATCCCGCCTGTGCCCCAAAGCCCGCTGCCAGTTCGCCTTCTACGGCGGTGAGTCGGGCTACCACCAGGCGCTGCTGGGCCTGCAGATCTTCAACGTCTTCATGTTCTTTTGGCTGGCCAACTTCGTGCTGGCGCTGGGCCAGGTCACCCTAGCTGGGGCCTTCGCCTCCTATTACTGGGCCCTGCGCAAGCCGGACGACCTGCCCGCCTTCCCGCTCTTCTCTGCCTTCAGCCGGGCACTCAGGTGGGCTGGGGTTGGGCACAAGATGGGGTAGAGGAGGCCTGGCCAGGCCACTGATCACCCGTCTGCCCGCAGGTATCACACAGGCTCCTTGGCCTTTGGCGCGCTCATTCTGGCCATCGTGCAGATCATCCGAGTGATGCTCGAGTACTTGGACCAGCGCCTGAAAGGTGCGGCCCACCCGCAGCTGGCATTGGCTCCCGCTGGGGGGTGGGGCTAAGTGGAAGATCGGGATTGGTTCTTGCTTGGGGGGGCGGGGCCAAAGTGGTGGGACAGTGATTGGTTTTTGCCTGGAGGGGGGTGGAGCTGAGGGGCTTGCGTGATTGGTTCCTGCGATGGAGGAGCAGCCCAGAGAGCCCACTGAGTGGAATTCTTACCGTTGAGGGGGCGGGCCCAAGAGGCCCGGCCCACCATTGGTTCCTGCTAGAAAGGGTTGGGCTAGGATTTGTTTGGGCTGAGGAGGGCGGCACTAAGACTGTTTTCTACCTCGCAGAGGAGGGGCTGTGGGACTGGGATTGGTTATACTTTGGGGTGGGGCCAAGGAGGCGACAAGGATTGGCTTCTTCTTGGAAGGTGGGGCCAGAGCAGTGGTGCGGGTCTTGATTGGTTCCTGTCCTGGAGGCTGGTCTGAAAGGCTTCACGATTGGCTTCCTCACTGGGGGCGGGGCTGAGGGTCCTGGGCTGTATTGGTTCCACTACTTGGATGGGGGACGGGACCCCAAGGGTCCTGGATCAAGTCCCTTCTTCCTGTCGCTTTGATAGGGTGGTCTCTGGAATCCTGGACTGTAAGGAGTGTGAGTGACAGAGAGGTGGGGGTCCCCTACCAGGCCAGGTGTTTCCCTTCACCTCCTCATTCCTTCCCTTTTCCAGCTGCGGAGAACAAATTTGCCAAGTTCCTTATGACCTGTCTCAAATGCTGCTTCTGGTGCCTGGAGAAGTTTATCAAATTCCTCAATAGGAATGCCTACATCATGGTGAGTGGACAGGACCCTGAACCAACCCCTCAGCTGTTATTAGGTGGGGGCAGCCCCCATCTCCATCCAGTGGACTTAATGCCTCCCTCCTGTTCCACTCCAGATTGCCATCTACGGCACTAACTTCTGCACCTCGGCCAGGAACGCTTTCTTCCTGCTCATGAGAAACATCATCAGGTCAGGGAAGGCATCTTCCTCTCGCCATCTTCCTCCTCCCCCAGTCCCTGAGCTGGCATTCACGCCTGTCCCTCACTGTCCCCCTGCAGAGTGGCTGTCCTGGACAAAGTGACCGACTTCCTCTTCCTGTTAGGCAAACTTCTGATTGTGGGTAGTGTGGGTGAGTGCTTTCCATCCAGACTGTTGGGGCGGGGGAGCCTGTTGGGAGTGACTTATGAGCTGCTGTCAGGCCCCATGTCTTCTTCTGCGATAAGCACCGTCTTCTCAGGGGGGCTGTTTCCTTTAGCCAGAACCCTCCACCATCTCAGTTTCCTCTCTCTCTCTAGGGATCCTGGCTTTCTTCTTCTTCACCCACCGCATCAGGATCGTGCAGGATACAGCACCGCCTCTCAACTATTACTGGGTGCCTATACTGGTATGGACCTTTGGGGATGGACGAGGGGTGTCCAGGGAGAAGCAGGTGTTGGGACTTGCTTGGCCTTCTTTGATTGGGCAGATGTGGATGGAAGTCAGAGGTGGGAGACTGGTTATTTTCTCAGTCCATATATATTTATTGAGCACCAACTCTGTACCAGGCCACTGAGGTGGGTGGGGAAGAGCTTTCCTCTGGAGGCCTTAGAGTTTAGAGGTAAAGAAACATTAGTCAATAATGATATGGTGAATGTGTGATTGCGGACTGGGATGTGCCACTGCTGCCTGCACACAGTACAGGGAACAGTTAGAGCCTGTGGTGAAGGATCTGGGAAGGTCTGGAGGTCCAGATGGCTTCACCATGCAAATGATGTTGGATCTGAAATGATTTGAAGATGCTGGCCATATCCAGGTAGAGGGAACAGCAAGTACGGAGGCCCTGAGATGGGTCCATGCCAGGAACAGTGAGGAGACCAGTGTGGCTGACGTGGAGCGAGTAAAGAGATGGGGAAGAGGACAAGGAGGTGACAGGACTGTGGAAGGATTGGGTTGGGTCTTCATTCCAAGAGCAACGTGGTATCTGAGTGCAGGTTTGGAGCCTAGCAACCTAGATTCTTAATTTTTTTCTCTATATGCTAGTTCTTTTTTTTTTTTCCTTTTTGTCTTTTTTCGTGTCCGGCAACGGACCGCAACCCTCAGTGTCGCGCCCATACCGGACCGGGACCGGCAACGGGATCGCAACCCTCGGTGTTGCGCCTGCACCTCGCTCAGCCAGTGAGCAGGAACCGGTCTGTATGTGGGATCCGAACCCTCGGCGGGAGCGCCACCTCGCTCCCAAGCGGTGCACTGTAGCAGTGCGCCACCGGGCCGGCCCCTCTATATGCTAGTTGTAAGATGAGTAACTTTAGTCAAATTAATCTGAGGTACACTCACTTCCATCAACAAGTGTTTATCAGGCAGCTACCAAGGCCCTGGGACTCTCCAGATTGCTAGGGATATAGCACTAAGTGGGACAGACACAGTCTAGTGAGGATGTGGATATTAAACCTGTAATGCCCTAAACATGTAGAAAATTGCAGCTGGATGAAGGCCTCAGGAGGGGTGTCCAGTGCTAGGAGAGCATAAACAGGGTCTAGATGTTGGAGGCAGTTTCCTAGAGGTCATGATACTCGAAGATTTCCTGTTTGATCTGAAGGCAGAAAGACAGGCATCAGGGCCACAGCACATGCAAAAGGCCTGGGATTGAAAAAAGCAGGGCATGTTGTGTGAATGATACGGCCCTGCCAGCAGCGGTGACGAGTTAGGATGTTATTCCAAAGAGAGCTTATCAGCAGTGGAGTGACATGATCCCAGCCTCGGAGGGACATAGTGGGTGAGGGTTGCTGTGAGCAGGAGCTGGGGCAAGAATAGCTCGTTTCTCCTCTCCCAGACGGTGATCGTCGGCTCCTACCTGATTGCCCATGGTTTCTTCAGCGTCTATGGCATGTGTGTGGACACACTGTTTCTCTGCTTCTGTGAGTGACACCCACAAACCCCAACCCTTGCTGGGCCAGGACTCCCTTCTCCCCACTGGGTATAACATCTCCTAACAATGGGGTGACACAGTCACCTGCCCAGTGCCCCTGGCTTCCATGGACACTGGCTGTCCCTTCTTCTGGGACCACAGCACGCCTTCTTGGCTTCCTCTCTGCACTCAGAGTGTCTCCATCCTCTTCTCCCCTGGCCCAGGTTTCAGCTGGAACACTCTGCCCCTGGGCCCTCAGCTTCTGGCTTTGTTGGGGGGGATCTGTGGCTGCCACTAACTCTGGTCTCTCCATCTGTCTGTTTTTATTTATTTATTTATTTTTCTCTTCCTCTCCTCCATGCCTGCTGGCTTCCCCATTCTTCCCCTGCCTCCCTTTCTCCCTCCCTTCCTGACCACCCCATTTTCCCCCTGCCGGTTCCTGGGGGGAGCCCAGGTGAGGACCTGGAAAGGAATGACGGCTCTCAGGAGCGACCCTACTTCATGTCGCCCGAGCTGAGAGACATCCTGTTGAAGGGGAGTGCGGAGGAGGGGAAGTGGGAGGAAACTGAGGAGTAGGAAGTGAGGGAGGCTGGCTTGGGGGCTGGTTTCCTTGCTGGAGACCGAGGGTGCATGCAGGGGGACCTCCTTGCCTGGGAGTGTGGGATCGTATGTCCTGTTCCAAGCCTGCTACAGTCTGCCCCTGTCCGGTCCTAGCGTGTCTTGCTTCCTAACCCTCTGAGGCTTCTCTGTGGCCCTTGTCCACCCACCCTGTCCCCGGAGGCCCCTGGCCCTGGAGACTCCCCTCACACCCCCTGCTCTGGGCCTCTCTGCAGTGGAGGATCTCGAGAGAAACGATGGCTCGGCCGAGAGGCCTTACTTCATGTCTTCCAGTCTCAAGAAACTCTTGAACAAAACCAACAAGAAACTTGCAGAGTCATAGAGCCCCCGCTCTCCCCACCTCTCGGGAAGCCTCACAGTGGGAGCTCCGTAGCTGGGTCTGTACCCCCAGCCCATCGGGCTTACCCGAAGTCCTGTCACTGCCGCTCCCCTCCCCATCCCCATGATCCAGTTACCACCAGTTTTTGAGGACCTGGAGAACCGGGGGTATCTCCTCCCTATGCCAAGGGGCACTCGGAGTTTTCAAGGCAGCCCCCCGAGACTGTGAAATGAGTCACTGCAGCCCTCACTGGCCTGGAAGGGGAGAAATCCGGTGGGATGGGAGGTGGCCTGACCTGCAGTCTCTCGCGTGCTTCCTATCCCCTTCTTACGATGGGACTGATAACAAGGACAGTGTTTATGTCTGAAGGAGTGGCCAGCTGCAGGGACCTCCAGCTCCAAACTCCCCATTCACTCCTGCCTGCTCTGGCCAGGACCAAACCTCTTCTCCATGGTGGAAAAATTGCCTCGAGGGCCACCAGAAGCATTTCTTTTTTTTAACCTGGACATGCATTAAAGGGTCTATTAGCTTTTTTTTCCATCTGTCTCAACAACTGAGATAGGGCCACCAAGGAGTGCCTTCCTTTGTCCCCCTCCCCACTTATGGCTGGGGTGGGGGGTATGTGTGCCCAGGTGGGGGGTGGACAGGAGGAAGAAGGGGTGAGGCCTCTGGGAGGGACAGTGGACAGCAGCCTGTGGCCAGCCAGAGCAGGCTGGAGGAGACCACTCACTAATAGCTGCTTGATGGAAACCTGCAGGCTGGCTGGCTGGAGGAGTTGGGCTGAATTTCCCCCCTTCCTTTGCCAGTTGTTGACACAGCTCTCTTTGTAAGAGACAGAAGAAACTGAATCCACCCAAGGGACGATTTCAGGGGGAGAGGTGGGGGGCCGAAGCCCTGGGCACACCAGACCTGTCTGCCTGCTCACCTCACCTTGAGGATCCTTTTGCCAAACTTGAACTCAGGGGACCTGGTTTCCAGTTCCCCCTTTGCCATATGCCAAGCCTCCCCCCCCGCCCCCCGACTTCATGGCCTTGCTCATCAGCATCGTCCCAGGGGCCTGGAGAGGGAGAATCCCCAGCCTGGGGTCTCCCATTTCCTGTGCCTGCTGCCAGCCCTTCCACCCACCCCCATCCTGTTTGCACAGCCCTGCGTGTAACTGCATTCCAATCACTAATAAAGTGCCTATTGTACAGGTCCAGGCCCGGCGTGTCTGTGGGGGAGGAGTGGGCTGGGCGGCTGGTAAGGGGAACCCCAGCTTCCAGTGCTCTGGCATTCTCTGAGCTGGGGCGGTTCTCCCGAGGAAGAGAAGTGGGGGCAGGAAACCCACTGTCTGCTAGGCGTAGTCTACTGAATTCTGCCATTCAGGCAGCTCAGGTTTTTCCTGGTGAACAAATGCCCCTTATTAAGCTCTGATCCCTGGAGTCCAGAAGGCAGCCTTGATCTGTCCCCCTCCCACCCACCTCCTTGGTCACGTGACCTGGTCATAGGCTCCCAGGCCTGCTTTCTCCCAGTCACCTTACGGTCTAGCCCAGCCTCTTTGGATCTGCCCGGCTGCCTGGAGACTTGCTGCTGCCCCCTGCTGCCAGCTGTCACCTATCACCTTTGGGCTATCTGCCTTATTTTTTTCTTAAGTAGCCACCAGTTTTTGAGTACTTCCTCTCTGTTACACACAATACCCCACTTCTGTTACTCTCCTTGTTTTACCAATGATGAAATGAAGGCAGGGAGGATCAGTGACATGTCGAAAGGTGGCCCAGCTACATAGGAGCTGAGAAAGCATTTGAACCCAGGTCTGCTCGACTCCAAAGCCCTCAACCTCCACCCGGTATTGACTGACCTCTCTGCATGCCCTAGTTCACCTGGATCCTTTGAGTCTCCTTTTTCCTTATCCCAGCTCCTGTTAGCCCCACCCACCTCCAATATATCTCCTAAATCTGCCCTCTTCTTTCCATATCTTAAGCTTTCAGCCCTCATCATCACTCACGTGGGCCCGTGCAGTCCTGTCACCCTGGTCCCCAGCTTCTGCACCCCCCACCATACACACACATTTCTTCCACAAGGTCAGGAGGGCATCTGTGAACACCTGAGTGAGGTCATGCCCCTCCTCTACTCAAGAACCCTCTATGGCTCCCACCTTACTCAGAACAAAAGCCAAAGTCATCCCTGCAGCCCACAGGCCCTGCCCCATCTGTCCCATCACCTCCTTACCCTCATCTCCTCACCCTCACCTCCCCCTACCCTCCCACTCGCTCGCTCACTCCACACCCCAGAGCTTATGTCCGTGGCTAGCTCCTCATCCTTCCTCTTTCAGCTGGGGGACCACCTCCCCCAGGAAACCTGCCCTGCTCGTGTAAAGTTGGCCTCTCTGGGTGATGGCCATGTCATCCTGTTTATTTTCCTCCTAGTACTTGCCACAATCTGTAATTACATAATTTATTTGTATTTTTGGGCCAGCCTGTGGCTCATTCAGGAGAGTGCGGTGCTGATAACACCAAGGCCACAGGTTCGGATCCTATATAGGGATGGCCGGTTGGCTCAATGGCTGAGCGTGGTGCTGACAACACCAAGCCAAGAGTTAAGATCCCCTTAACGGTCATCTTTTTATAAAAAATAAATAAATAAATAATAATAATAATAATTTATTTGTATTTTCACTTACTAATTATCCACTTCCCCTACCAGAATGTCAGCTCCAAGAGGACACAGACCTTGTCTCTTGTTTAACACCTTAGTCCAGGGTGGGGCAGAGTGCCTGGTACACAGCAGATGCTCAGTAGGTGCACCCCGAACAGCTGAATGAACATAAAGGGCTTAGCGCAGTGCCTGGCCCCGGTGGGAATTTCATCATGTTAGGAATTGTTATTTGATTTTTTTTTTGGTAGCCAGCTACAATTGTTATTATTATATTAACATACGCCTGCATCTGAGCTCCCAGTCTTTTATGTACGCACGAAGCCCTCTGGATACTGTGTGCAACAAGATTGTAGAAGCAGGGAGACCTTTGAGAAGCTACTGCACCAGTCCAGGCAAGCGCTGATGGTGGACTGGACTCGTGGTCATAGTGAAGATCGTAAAAAGTGTTCAGATTTTAGGGGCCAGCTGGTGGCTCACTTGGGAGAGCGTGGTGATGATAACACCAAGTCAAGGGTTGAGATCTCCTTACCGGTCATCTTTTTGAAAAAAAAAAAAAAAAAAGGGCCAGCCCGGTGGCACACTGGATAG